GGCCCCGCCCCCGCCCTCCAAGGACCAGCCTGCAGGCCCCGCCCCTGCCCTCCCTGGTCCCCTCACCTCTGGCGTCAGGGCGTTGTTGTCTGACGTCTGGCTGGACAGCAGGATGTGCGTGAAGCCCTCCTCCTTGCGCACGACGATGTCTCGGAAGCGGCAGTTGCTCTCGTTCTGGCGGACGCTGTACCTGAGCCTCTTGTCAAAGACGTAGTCTTTCTCCGTCTCCAGCTTCCTCTTCACGGGGCTGTGCAGACTCAGGCCCCCGTTGGTCAGAGCCCCAGAGCCTTCCGGGAGCAGAGACACAGAATCAGAGAGGGACCCTCGGGGTCCTGAGAGGGTGTGACCGGAGCCCACTGTTGCAGCCACTGTGCCGGTCCGACCCATCTCCTTGACCCTCTACTTGACCGGGCATGATGTCCTTTTCCAGGGACATCTCTCTCCTGGTGGCATGTGTGTGAGAAGAAATCTTACCAAGCTCACCTCAGAGGTGCACTCTGCCTCTCATGCCCCAGAATGCATTGCACAGGGATGAAAACAACAAAATATGGCGAAAGCTACACATCTCTGGTCAAAGAAATGACAGGCGATCTAAATAAACAGCGAGATCCACGACAAACAAAACCCAGTACCACCGAGTCAAGTTCAACTTGTGACCCTATCTTGGGCTGGAGAGGCACGGGTATTCTTTGGGTATAGATTGGAAGGCTCATATTGGTACGCTGCCAGTTCTTCTCAACTTGATTGATCAAAGGCAACCATCAACTAAAATCCCAGTTTTGTATTTATCAGCAAACTGATTCAAAAGTTTGTACAGAAAGTCAAGAGATCTGGATTAGCCAACATGTTGGGCATTGCCCACGCACAAGACTGACCATGAAGTGATGGTAGTCAAAGCACTGTGATATTGGTGGAATATGGATCGCTGGAGCATCCTACAAAACTCAGGAAAAGGCCCCCACAAGTACAGTCAAATAGTCTTTTTCAAAGAGGTACTACCCTTCTGAGCAGCTGAGACCAGGTTCTCGGAGAAGCAAATCCAGTAACGCTTATCTATCTAAATGTGCAGAATACACACGGGGGCTTCAAAAAGTCCGTGGGAAAACTCCTGTTAGCTTTTCATCCCATTTTTCTCCACGACCATTCTGAAGCTCCTCCCCCCAACACCACACACACACACACACACACACAGTTGATGTGTGTCATCATCGCCTCAATAGCAGTGGCATGGTTTTCGTTTCCCTACTACCTGGTGTCTCTGATTCTCTGCACATGCTGCAAGACAGCTATTATGAGTTCATTAGAGAGACGAAGGAAAAGAGGTCACTTGATGGACCCCTATCAGCTTTCAAGGATTTGAGTCAGCTCCTTAGAGAGTCACCGTCTCAGAAACCGACAGGGGCAGGCCGACCCTGTCCTGCAGGGTCGCTATGAACCAGAAGCAACTCGATGGCAATGAGCTAGATTTGGTGGGGTTTCTGTTGTTTGTTTGCTTTTCGTCTCGTTTCACCCATTCACTCATTCATTAAAAATGCAACTATTGAGCAACCTCCTATGATCTGGATAAGACATCTGGATAGTGGTGCAGTGGTTTAAGGGCTTAGCTGCTCACAGAGGTTGGTGGTTCAAACCCAACAGTCCCTTCACAGGAGAAAGATGAGACCATCTGGTCCCATAAGGATTGACAGCCTCCGAAACCCTGTGGGACAGTCAGTCCTCTGTCCTATAGGGCCACTAAGAGTCCGAATCGACTGGATAGCAGGGGGAGGAGGGGAGGACATAGCTCTCCTGGCAGATCGTGAGGACCCAAACAAAGGCAGATAAATAAGACCCCCGCTGCCACTGCCTTATGTTAGAATAGAAATTAATACTGTGATGAAATAAAGAATGTGCACACGCGCACACATGCATGTGTGTGTGAGAAAGGGAGAGAGATCTGAATGCAAAGCCCACAGCCTTCTCACTGGGGCACAGTGTGAAGCCACCTTCAAGGGAACAAGGACTTGGAAGACATATGGTCCGATAAAGAAGAAGACGGCTTGAGGAAAAGCCACCTGTTGATTCTTGGTGAGGGCGCTGGGTCCGCACCTCCACATCTGGGTCCAGAAAGGGGCAGATGAGCCTCCTTAAGCCCCCGGTTCACATCCCGTCCAGCTGAGGTATGACATGTTTCTGATCGAAAATGGCAAAAAAAAGAAACCTCTTTGGGTGCAGAGCAACGAGCCCCTCCGGAGTCCTACAGACTCTTCCCTCGTGGTCTCTCCTACATATCCCATCCCCTCCTGGGACCCAAGTGCCTCCTAAGCAGACCAGCTGGCTGGCAGGGAAGGTGCCCTGGGAAATGGGAAGTGCCAGAAGCCCAGGGCTTTGCGGCCCCCAGCAGGGACTACCAAGCAGCCATATGTAGCTAACAGGGAGCAGTTAGGAAGCCTGGGAGCTCCAGTGCAGGGCTCCTTGAGAGAGGGGCTCATCGTGTCAGCTTTTCAGGGGTGTTTATGAGCGAAACCCATTAGAGAAGCAAGTGAGTGGGCTTAGCAAGGGGCCCCGCACGTCCTAGGCAGTCACCAACGCTCTCTGAGGGACGCCCGGTCTGACCCAGAGGGAGACATTACTCGGTGGCCCTCTTCTGCCTGTCCTTTCCTTTCCTCTCTAAGCCTGTTAGGTAGCAGA